TATACACACTGCTTACCTTGTTAAGTTCAGACCATTTTAGAACATTACATGTTGTAGGTAGGTCACTCGGAGTGTATAGTTTTTAAGGGAGCAATTACCCCCCTGAATATAAAATACCTATTTCTATTATTGATGGTGTTGCAACACTAAAGCCATTTGAAGATTGGCCTTAGGTCAAGTTAGATCTTTGATTACTATATGAGAAAAATGTAAATGCTTTATACACTAAAGTATAATGATTATATGAAGGTGTGTAGAATAGTTAAAGAAATATGAGATAAGCTTGTAATCACTTATGAAGAAATAATTATGGTGAGAAAATATGGATTACTATTCTTATACCAAAGTGCTAACTATTTAGGATGATATCTTATGAAACCATCACTAAAATATTCAGAAGATTCATGACAAATACAAATGACCAAAAAGCCTTGATAATACGGAGTACAAACATTGTGAATAAAAAATTAATTCTATAGGAGATAAAGAGGATGCTAAAAAAAAAAAGAATTAAATCTTAGCACAAATTTTAAGATTTAGATGAGAGTGAAGTATCTTTGTTGGGTAGCAAAAGTAATGAAATTGCATTAAAATTATAATGTTTTGGAAAGATGCTGAATATTGAAAGATAAAGTAAAATCGCATTTTGCATGTAAAAAAACAGAAGATTCTTGGATATATTATAATTTTCATGAAATAAAGATTCTTTCAATATGAGTGTCTATTAAATAAAAAAAAATGGAAATATATGTAAATAAGAAAAGTAAGAAAGCTTTAAAGGTTATATGGATGGAGTCAAATTGTGAGGGTGTAAGCATGTTAAGATAAAACAACAATGAAGCAAATATCTATTTAATAGTACTCGATGATTCATTTAAAGAAGAAGAAAAGTGCTTTCAAAAGTAGTAAAAAAGTCATATCAAACGAAGCTCGGGACAACTTTTTTATTGTTTTCTAAAACAGCTTTCTAGTAAAAAAAAGCCAATTTAGGAAGCAAAACAAAAGCTGTCCCAAACGAAGCCTTAGGCCAGCTTCATTTGGGACAGCTTTCTTCCTGTTTTCAAACCAACATAAGTTTGTCATCATAAATAAAAATAAAAATTATTGATCAAATGTATCCATATTACTTAAAAGTTAAATTTTGATGATAACAATCATATACTTCAAAGTGATTTCAAATTTTAGAGGTTTTATAAATTTTGATGCAAATAACTAAATCTTACGGAGTCTTAGGACATGGAACCAATAAGGATATTTAAACATTATTTGAGTCTTTAAAGTCTCTAAAAATTTTAGTCATATACTCATATATCATATAGGCTCACCAAAAACTTTGAAATCCAAAAATTAAAAGAAATTTCATGAATATTAAACAATTATTTAAATTTTCTAAATAAATTCAACAAACTTAAATAAAATTTAGCAAAAATTATCATGTCAATTTGATTAATCATTTGCTTAATTTTTTTGTCAATCAAGTTTAAATTATATTTATCATATTATTAAATATTTCATTATTTATGTAGTAGTTAACAATATTGTTGTGGAGTCCCAAGCACTGGAAGAAAAGAGTGAAGGATTGCTTTAGGTAGTTGATAGCCAGTATAAAATTAATCAAATAATCATATCATGAATCTTTTAATACATTATGTTAGCGCTAGGACGTTTGCTAAAAGTTATGTATTTTAGGGTATAAATATAACAAAAAAAGTGTGCACGGGTTGTTGTATTAGTGCTCGGGTGCATTATTAAATATGCAGGGGCTCTCACATCATGGTTGGATGTATGCAAAGAAGCTAGTCTATGAAACTAAAATTATTATAGGAACTTAGAATAAAAGGTTCTCTTACAAGAAAGTTAATAGAATTAATGGATATTATTATTTATATGAAATAAATATTATATGTATTAAGAAAACTAAATTGATTGGAGAAAAGGATAAGGAGATTGATAGCTTAGGATTTAAACTATGGTATTTATGTGAGAGTCATATTAGGTGTGATTATAGATAAGAGTTTAAATAATAATTTTGTATAATTAATAGAATAAAAATAGAATTATAGTTTTAAAGATGGTTATTAATTTTAAGATTATTAATATTATAAGTGCTTATGCTCCTCAAGTAGATTTGGATATTTATTCAAAATTAAAGTTTTAGAATGATTTAGAAGAATTAGAACAAATGATACATCCTGAAAAAAGAGTTCAATTCAAGTAAAAATTTATATACACAATATCGCTTATTCATTTTGGACTTTAAGATGAAATGGTGAAATATGAAAAATAAAGTAAAATGTTGTCTTAGAGATTAGATGGGGGCACTTAAAAAATGCTAATAAACATATTTTTGAGAGTATGATTCAACATCTCAAGATTTGAGTTCATAAGGAGGCTAATGTTATGTGAGAAAAAAATAACTAGTGATATTAAGAATATTACAAAGTATGTGCTTGGAGAATAAAAAAGAAGAAAACTCTTAATAATAAAAAAAGTTGGTGGTAGAATCAAAATGGATAACAAAAGACTAAAAATAAGAAGTTTTGTTAAAATAATGAGTTTAGATGTAAAAGCTCAAAAAATTGTGAAAGATATAGATAGGCCCATTGCGACTTTAAGAAAGCAATATTCAATGCAAAGAATTTATATTTTAGTGATTTATATAATAGATTAGATACCTAGAAGGAATAAATATGTATAAGTTAGCCAAGTGAAAAGATAAAAGAACTAAGGATCTAGCTTAATTAAAGTGCATTAAGAATGAAGATAAAAAAAATGTTTTTCATAGAAAACAATATTCATCATAGATGGATGAAAGATTTTGATATTCTTTTAAATGAAGTTTATATGAATATGATTGACTTTAGTGATCTTGGTCTCCTAAATAAACATAGAGATTTTTATTTGTATCGTCGTATTGTTAAAACCAAAGATGGAGAGGTTTTAAAGAAAATGTAGTATGGAAAAGTAATGGGACTTAATGATATTCAAATAGAAGTATATATGGTCATATGGATATGCTTGGGACTCATGCTAAGCATGTTCACTATGGAAGATATATATTTGGTGAGAGGTTTGATGGAGAAGTATATAGAGAGTAATGAGGATCTATCATCTATATATAATATTTGTTGATTTAGAGAATGCATATGATAAAGTTTTAATAGAAGAGCTCTGGAGAGTTCTAGACAAAAAAAGTAGTTAATAATTATTATATTTAAGTTATTAAGGATATGTATTGAGGAGTTGCTACTTATATTCAAACAAAATGTGGTTTGACCATGTACTTTCCTATTTAAGTTGGATTACATTAAGGATTAGCTTTAAGCCCATATCTTTTTGCTTTAGTCTTCGATGTTTTTACTAGACATTTATAAGAGGTTGTACCTTAATGTATGCTTTTGTTGATGATATTTTTCTTGTTGATAAGACTAGAGAGGGAGTTGAAGGAAAACTTGAATTATGGAAACTTGAATTAGAGTCTAAAGATTTTTGTTTGAGAAAATCTAAAAAAGAATAAGTGGAGTATAATTTTAGTGGTCATTGATTTAGCGGCGGGATTGTTACAATGGTGATCAACTTATTTAAAAAAAATTGCATGTTTTAGATACCTCGAAGCTATTGTTCAAAGTGATGGTAAAATAGATGAATATATTATTAATAGAATTCAAGTTTGATTGGTGAAATGAAGGAATGCATCAAGCCTAAAAACATCCTTCAAACTTAAGAGAAAATTTAATAAGATTGTGCTAAGACCTGGAATGCTTTACGGTGCATAATATTCATCATTAAAAGAGAAGCATAAAATTAAGTATTGTGGAGAGAGTTATCTTAAATGTTTTAGTAACATAAAATGTTGGTCTTCTAATGACCCGGTTAGAAAAGTATATGAATTAGATCCAACCTATGTTAAGAAAGCTAAAAGCAGGCCTAAAAAGATTTGGTTTGAAAGTATTAGAAATGACTTTTTTTATTAAATTTAGATGAGAATTTTACTCTTAATAAAACACAATGAAGAAAAAAGACTCATGTAGCCGACCCCACATAATGGGATAAAGGCTTGATTTTTGTTGTAATTGTTGTTACATATGGTAATAATTAGCACTCAATTATTTTACCATTAAATCCATAATACCTTTTACTTGTTAATCATTATAATATATACATTTTTATATTCAAGTAGGCTAAGATTTTTAAAGCATGACATTGCCAGGCATACTTGGCAGATTTGAAAATTTTAGGGGTGTGTGTAAGTTAGTCAAGCCGACAAGTGAGCCTGCTCAAGCTCAACTCAATAAATGACTCGTGAGCCTAGCTCTATGGCCTATGGGCTAACAAGTCAAGTTCAAGCCAACCCTGACTCGACTTGTTAGCTCATGAGCAAACTTGTTTAAAAAATATTAATCGAAAATGCACTTAAAATATATAACATTCAAGATTTAAAAAACATAGCTACTAAAAATATTTAAAAATTATAAATTATTTTCTTACATTAAGTGATTCTTTATTATTTTCTATAAGCTTCTCATTTTTTTTTAATTTTAATATAATGATTGCTTGAATCATAATTATTATTTTCTTTCATAATTAACAAGCCAACTCTAACTCATAGAACAAACTCGAGCTCTAGCTAGAACTCTATTAGTTAATCAAACTCAAGTCAAAAGTGACTCAAGTCCAGCTTAACTCATAAAATAAAATAAATTAATATATTTAAAGTAATTAAAATATTATTACTTTTAATAACAAATTTAATCACTTTTAACTAACATATATTTTAAATAAAAACAGCAACTCATCTTTACTAAAATTTAAAATTTTACATGTTGAATAAATAATATCCACAGTGATCTTTTGTTTACTTTCTTATTTATAATTTATAAATTTTATAAATTTAATATTAAAGAAAACAATTTTATATTTTAATTTAATCAATTAAAAAAATAAATCCAAACTAATAAGTAAAAATCATCCCAAACGAAGTCTAAAAGAAAAAATAACAATTGAGCTAAATGCTTAACGCACAACCGCGCAGTGTTGAACTGAAACAAGTGATCCATTTCCTCAAATTCTGGCTAAGCAGATTTTACAAGGGCACAATCAATTTCTTTCTTTTCTTGAGAAAGAACAATTTCCCTTTTTGTCCACTAGACATGTTCTATTATAACAATCATGCATCTACTACATCAATTGTATTTCTAAGGCCAACCCCTTCATCATTTCACATCAAAACTCCATTCTAACTATATTTACCATCATCTCTCCATGGAAGCTCTCACCCATCAGTTGCAGGGAAAAATGGAAGAAATCCCAAATGGAATTGTTGGCACAGACATGCCAAAGAGAAGCCTGAAGGCACTCTAAACCTCAACAATGCTTTCTGATTCAATTCAAGCCTCCATTTGCTATGTTCTTATCAGGGCTGCTATGCGTTTCGCCGGAAGATGCGACGAGGACATGACCGTTGGCCTCAGGTGAAAGATGGTGGTGTTCTTCCACAAGAGTTGTTTTAGTGGCTTCGGAAAAAATAACTGTGATCTTGTCAGAATGGGTGTGCTGTTCATGCTGCAGAGCTTCCATTTTATGAAGAGATGGAGAATCCCCTCGGCAGTATCGGTGCCACATAGTCCTGTAAAGGGACTCCAAATGCTTGGTGAACTTTAGGCCATCACAAAGAGGAGATTTAAGCATTAGTTCACGGAGAGACATTCTCAGCTCGGAAAGAGAAGAGACGTTTGATGCTAGCTTCACTGCCAACTGGACATACTCATCTTCAGTTTTCGCGACCAAATGCGCCAAACCTGAGGATTGTAATAAATCAGGCATATACTGGAATAAACAGCTGCATGAAGCATCTTTTTTCGAGGGGAGTAAGAAAAGAAAAAGAAAGAAACCGGAAGAAAAACTCTCAAAATTTTGTAATGGGTTTTTGCGGCAAATAATGCGCAAGAGGAAGAGAAAGCTTGGACTTTCTCCGATCTGCGCATGAAATTGCCGCAATACAAAGAATTCTCTCTGCAAACATACGTAGGCAAAGGTAGCTTTGTTCAGTCAGAACAGTTAGCAGGAGAAAGAGATTATATGATTCAGCATGACTTACAGATGATCATCAGATACTTTAATGTAAATTGATTAAGCATTGCAATCAAAGTCAAGATGAGAAATACCAAAATAAGAACTAGAGGAAGACAGATCAAGAAGAGGAAAAAGGTCAGTGATCAGAAACAAGAAGAAAAATCTACAAGGAACTCCAGCAACTGCTTTCTTTTTTGGTGCGGAAAGTTCAGAGCCAATGCTCAAATATATAAAATTTAGAGTACTTTACAGATTACAAGAGAGCTCAAGGAGATAATAAAAAAAAAGAGAAATTTTTTGAAACAGTATTACCCAAAAAGCTCCATAAACAAAGGAAATAAAAAACAAAATACAGACTGTGTAAAGGAAGAAAAACATTTCCAAGGTAAAAACATTATCAAATATAAGATTAGCGTAGCGACAAAATGGGAGTCAGATAAAAAATGGTAAAAAAATTACTCAACCTTTTTTGTACACATGATTGACAAAGATTAAGAGATTAAAATAAGTGTGCGATGATTAAATTTTTATAACGCCAGAAACAAAAAGATCCTTATTATGTTCGATGAAATAGGAAGAGGCTATTTGTTTTAGTAAGACAGTTCAAAGAAATCTCACATCCGATAGGGTTTTTAACAAGAATATGAATGGACTTACCAACATTGCTAAGAAGGCTAACACCAACATTATGAGCATGAACGGATCCAGCCAAAGTGACACATGGAACACCCATGTACAAAGATTCACATGTAGTAGTTGTACCCGCATATGGAAACGTATCTAAACTGCAAAGAGTAGAAAATAATGATACAAGTGAACTAGTGCTGGGATTCAAATAGATAGATAGGATTTAACAAAAGAATGCGAATTGTTCTGGTACTAATGGCAACTTTTAAACGGCATAGTGCACAACTTTATTCATCATTGAAGCTGATGATCCGTAAATTAGGCTCAAATGTAACCAAGAATGAAAAATTAAAGATGAAAATCGGTGAAATGAAAAAAAAAAAAGGAATGAATAAAATTACAGCATTCCATGGCACATGGAAGCAACATCATCAAAGGATATATATATATATATATAAAGCTGCACAGATATAGAATGGAACTCCTGCCATTTTATTTATTTCCAATATTGGGAACTCGCTTCACTTCCAGCCACTTGAAATAAAACAAACTGGCCTTCCATGTTCATGTAAAACACGTGTCTAATAGACACCTTAACATGAGTTTGCCTAGCTTCAAGTCATATATGACGTGATTTTTTTTCCCAGTATAAGAGTTGTTCATGGCTGAGACATCGACAAGATATGCCAAAGCTGTTAGTCATGAAGATGATCACGATGTCAAATGTGTTGGATCTTATTAATGATACATCAATGTGTTATTGTTTCATATGGTTGTCAGATAACTTAAGAAATCAACCATTATCTCTTAAATTCAACTATAGCTTTTTATGTTCAAGTAACAAAAGATCCTTCGCACCCTAGTTCTAGATCATATTAGCATTGGCATACTTGTCAATAGAGAATGGTACACCATGACATAAAATATCCAGTAGAGCCATGACGCATAACCCACATAATGACACAAGTCATTTTAAATATGACACATAATATAAAATAATTATAAAAAATAAAAATTAATATAAAATATCATTAAACTAAAAGATAAAGTATCATGATAATAAAAAATGACCAAAATGATGCATAAGTTCAAATAATCAATATCTCAATCTCTCATAATTCAAAATATTACAATAAATTTTTTTATGTATAATAATTTTGTAAGAATTTAATCTACTCTTCTTGGAAATCATCATAAAAAAAAAAAAAAAAACTTCATTCCCTTCATCAACATTGTCTCATATTTCATAATCATTTTCATCACTCTCATTATCTCAAGTCTCAATAGCAATAATCTCATGCATAGATGAAAATTCATTTTCTTTGCCTTATATTACAATCTCAAATGCTGTAACTTTTGTCATAAACACCAATGGTTTTTGCAACAGTACTCCATATCAAATCTTCCTTGTTAACAATGCAGTCATTTTGTTCATCTAACTCGTCATCCATTTTTTTCTATTAGCCACTCATTTGCATAATCTATGCCAGTCAAAGAAATATGATCGATCACATCATGATGATTGTATCTGCGAATCAATGTCCTATTATATTTTGCATAAACTGAATGATCGAATATACTCCAATTACATTCACATCCAGATGAATTACAGGTTAGATTAAAGACTTTAATAGCAAAACTTTATAAGTGTGGACCTCCTTGACCTCCAACACCCAATCAACTGAAAGTAATGAAATATTTATTTTATACTCTTATAAAATCACTACCCTATCTTAATTTTATTCAAACAATGATACCTAGAAATCGAGTAGTCTTTTGTCATACAATGGAATATCAAATAGACCTTCACCCCTAATATATAAACTTAATTCATTATTAATTTTGTCTTCTTCATCAACATTTTTAGATAATCTTCCAATACATGAATATAGTCCATCAACTATTTCCTTATCCCTAGTAATATTAGAGTTATTGAAAAAATATTCAAGATTTAGAAAGTGAGTTGTTGCATGTAAGATTGGTGAAATTACACTTTCCATCTATCAATAACTTCAAAAATTTGTTTGTATTTATCGCTATTGTTGAAACTTGTAGCAATTGTTTCCATCAGTTATCCATTGCTTCATATATAAGTTAATCGAGGCTTCCTTTCTCCATTAACCAATCTAAAAACCTTCAATTAAAAGCCACCTAATTTTAGTGCATATACTACAGTATTCTAGAATGATTGTTGTAGGATTGTATATTAAGAATGTTTTTTCCATGCTTCTTTTGTATAATGACCAAAAATAAACTCTTCATAAGTAAATTTTGTTTAGATTTAATTATTGTTGATAAAAATGTTGTGAAGTCAAAAAGGTTGTCACGAAAGGAGTCTTGGTGGACTTGACAAGTGATCTTTGATTTATACATCTTCTCGTTTAGTCGAGTTAGTGTGGCCTTAAATATATGAAACTGTGTAGTACTATCGCTTACTCAAAGCATTCTATAGTTTTTGAATTTTAAAAATATCCTCCATTATTAAATTTAAACAATGCGCAACAAAGAGCCTTGTATATATATGTAGATATTTCTCCATAAAAAACTTTCTTGTGATGTCATTAAAAGTTGTAAGACAAATTCATTATGTATATGAAATAACATAGGTTTACATTGTGCCAAACCTACAAGGACATTATCAAACACATTATCAGAAACAACTTGAATCACATTATGTGGCCTAATAACCTCAATGTACTTGAAAACGAACATCTTCATTACATTATTTGAAAAATAACCGACATCTATTGGCTCTATGAATGTAGTCCCTCTCAAACCATTCACAAAATAATTAAAGACATTTTTCATTCTTTGATGTCCATCCATCTGGCATAAGAGAACATCAATATCGTACACAATTTTCTTCATAATGCCACAATAGTTCTTATGTGTGTCCAACCCCTTTTTCAAGTAAGTAACTCGTACCTTATGATAGATATGGGGTTTCATCCCAAGACCAAATTATCCAAATTCCCCAACCACGATAGGAAAACAGATAATTTCACTAAATTGAATGGAATTTCAATATCATACATCCACTACAAAATACTTGAGTTGCTCTTACTCTCATTTTCTTCTTAGTAGCATCCATTTCTTTGCAAAATTGATCTTTTCTTTACTGCACAATGTCCCCATAATTTGGTGTAAGATAAGTACCTAATGGTCCCTTAATTCTTGATGCTTTGAGGATTGATATTAATGTTGAACTTTGACTAGAGGTGTTAGATTTAGTTGTATGCTATCTTTTGAAAGGTCAAATGCCTAGAATATCATTATCAACCATCACATCACATCGAAGTCATCTCTTTTATCAATCGTGACATGTACTATTTCATTAGTTAGTTCTTTTAACTTTTTTTTTCCTCCGCATAAGAGTCTTGTATTTCATCCTTAACAAGTTTGGGGCAGTATAGCAAGTTATAGCATTTTTAAAACCCTCAACCCAGTATTGTTTGTGACGTGTAATTTCTCCTTTTTGTTATTTTTTCCGCAAAAAATACATAGCACACTATTGTTATTGAATTTAATGGCCAAAATTGCATATCTCCATAGTGAATCATTTTTTAAGATTGAATTGAATTCGACATTCTATTGATCACCTATAAGCAAGTAGATTAAACATATTAAAGATTACAATCAACAGATACACAAGCAAAATTAGGAGAATGCTCATTCTTCCCTTAGATGATTAAAAGTCCATCTCACACACACAAACAAGATTAAAGCATAATTTAGCCTAATAAAGAAATACTGATGGATTACCTATCTAAATCTACTAGTACTATCAACATATGGATAGTTGAAAGAATTTTAAGAATCCAATGAACCAATAGAGTGGATACCTAAAGACGAATATATGATCTTCAACAAAAAACTTAATTTAGAGAAGATTACTTTAGCAGCGATATTCTACTTCGATCCAACAATTACGTCCTCGTTGAGCACGAAGAAAGATTGACAGGGACGTCTTCGATGAGCTTCTGACTTCTGATCCAACAGGGACATCTTTTGATCAAGTGAACAGGGAAGAAGCTTCTCCAACAACTTTTTTCACGAGCTTGAAGACTGTTAGCTTTGATAGAAGTAGAAGCAAAACCAACATAGCGGCATAGCAAAGAAAGATTGTTACCTTAGCGATGAACTTCCATCATGACCTTCGATCCGATAGGATGCCTTTGTTGAAAGAGGCAACAAAGCTTCTCTAGGTAGTCATGACCTAGCAGCGAAGGGAAGAGAGCTCATTACCATCGACAAAAGCAGGAACAAGGTGTAGGAAAAAGATCTTTACCTTACAGAAGAAGCAGGAACAAGGCATGAAAAAGATCATTACCTTAAGGCAAGCTCCCTACGGGACTTCCAATCCGACAGGAACGCCTTCGTTGAATGAGGCAACGAAGCTTCTCCAGGGATTCATGACCTAGCGACGAAGGGGAGAGAGATCGTTACTGATGAGAACATCCGACCGTGAAAGTTTATCAGGGAGCCGAAGATCGAAGACCATAATCGCCCCACTTCATGTTAAGTTTATTTTAATTTTGAATTATTTGTGCATTTTTTCCATTTTTACCCTCACTTGAGGGAGTAGGCCTATGTAACCCCAGGGGCACTTTTGGAATTTTGTCTTATTATTGTATTTTGGCTATTTATAGCCCCCTCTCCTCCTTTTGAGGGGATTGATGATTATTAAGAGAAAAAAATATGCACTTTGTTGTTGAGAGCTATGGGACTTCTTAGGAGAGTGGAAGTCCCTAAGTGAGGGCAATGTACCACCCACTAGCCGTAGGAAGCGTCCGAGCTCGTGGTTTGAAGTCCCTTGGTGAGGGCAAAGTATTACCTATCAGCAGCAGGAAGCGTCCAGGCTCGTGGTTTATCTTCTTCACCTTATTTTTCCTAACCGCCACCTCCTCCTCCTTCCTCCAAGCCGCCGGTCACCTTGTGTCTAACCCTTAACATACCCCTCTCCATCTTCAACCCTAGCCGCCACCTCCACATCTCTCTTTCTCCTCTTGGCCAAAAACTCCACCCAAACCCTAAGCCAAAAGACACTCGACTGCCGATCCAAACACCTTCTCAAACCGTTGGCCAACCAACCAAACCCACCCTCCTATAGCTGCCAGCCAATTTCTTCCATCCTTGTCGCCGGTCAAACCCCCCATTC